ATTCAACAGCCTCCAATAAAAAGAAGGGAAAAAAAATCGGTGAGCTTTTCTCCGCATACGCTTAATGGCCGGTGAGCTTTTCTCCGCATCCGCCGGTTTTGCGGTGAGCTTTTTTCCGGTGAGCTTATGTCCAGTGAGCTTTTCTCCGGGAATCGTTCCCCCTCCCTATGACGCACTCTCCGACCTCGTCTGCATATGTTCCTGGCATAAACAGATGTCAAACCTAGGCAACGGGCAACAGTTTCAAACACAGCGAACCTGCGTGTTCGCTGAAATTAGGCAGCGTGATTAGTCCCGTTAGTACCCTCGCTGGTTTTTGCCATGTACAATTAAATTGAATCACCTGTAAGCCCCCCCCCCCCCCCCTCCCTTCTTTTTCTCTTATGTTCAGTGTTTCTCAGGCAAAAAAAAAAGAAAAGCACAGTAAAACAACAACAACAACAACACCATTGTAGGCAAGAAATTGAATTGTTAGACATGGTGCACGTCAAGAGTGGCAGATGGAAATGCGCCTCCGCACGATTCCGCATCGAAGCGCACAGTCCACGTTGCACTCGGCAATGGCGGATACCAGGTTCTTTCTGAATCGTGAAGTCATGGGAGTACATCCATACAGGACTTTATGTGGCCGATTTCGTCGCGGCGTTCGCCGTGCCTTTTGTGCTCACCGTGAAGATGACCGCGGTCTAGTCAACCTCGACCCACTTTTTTATTTTTTATTTTTTTCGGCATCCCGCTTTCTACTTTTCTCAGTAAGGCCGGCAGACTCGTATCCATCATTCTGATAAGGACGTTTCAAACAACAATCCATTGTGTGCATGTGTGTGTGTGCATACAGGACGGGTGTGTGATCAGTTGTGCAATCATTCCGGTTGCCGTATTAACAGCTTTGTTTTGGTGTTCTTTTTTTCTTTCTTCAGAGGAACGTGTAAATGTGGGTTCACGTGTATGCACCCTTAAAATAGTTAAACATGAGTACACACTCGGTAGTGAAGCAAGTTTTCTTTATTTAATCACGAAAATCCTTTAAATAAATTAGATAAGACTTTCCGAATGACCCCCGAGATGTCTCGGTGACGCCCTATTATGATCCCCCCTGCTACGTCACTGCTGGTCGAAGCGCTTTCCTTTGATGTATATGGGGGGACCTCAATACCCGCTTTCTTAAATGTCTAACTTATATGTAAAAAAAAAAATAAAGAAAGAAAAAGTTCCCGGCATCAAAATCCTTGTTTTATTGGGCGCGTTAAGGTAACGCGCTCGAGCGCGCTCCAGCGGTCAGAGTGCACTCGAGCTAAACTACCGGGTGAAACAAGGAGACGGTAGGCTCTTTAAATCGACCGGAAAATTCGGTTTCTTAACCTATCGCGCTACGACTTTGTGCAGCGTCGCCCACAGATGGTGCATTTTTTTTGTAAAATTTGCAAAGAGCGAACTTACCTGAGGAAAAAGTAAAGAAAGAAAAAGGCTTAGCTCCTATGGAAACGCAGCGACGCCACCGGTCTGCAATCAACACGGCGCCGTTTCGCACGGTAGACAAGAGATGGCGCAACGAACGCCGCCAACGAATGAGCATACGGCGCCGAGAGCCAGCGTTTTTAGCAGACGATCTTTTCGAATCAAAAGCGGCGCGCGTTCCGGAAACGGCGACAGTTGCAGAAATAAAAACAGGCGCGGTAACAACAAGCAACTGCAGTTCCTTGTCTGCTAAAAACGCCGGTTCTCGGCGTCGTCTGCTCGTTCGTTGGCGGCAGTTGGCGTCGCGACCGCTTGCGCCATCTCTTGTCTACCGTGCGAAACGGCGCCGTGTTGATTGCAGACCGGTGGCGTCGCTGCGTTTCCATAGGAGCTAAGCCTTTTTCTTTCTTTACTTTTTCCTCAGGTAAGTTCGCTCTTTGCAAATTTTACAAAAAAAATGCACCATCTGTGGGCGACGCTGCACAAAGTCGTAGCGCGATAGGTTAAGAAACCGAATTTTCCGGTCGATTTAAAGAGCCTACCGTCTCCTTGTTTCACCCGGTATATCCGTTTTCAACTCAAGAAAAAAGGAAGTTTTGCTCCATGTTCGTACGCCGCGCGAGGTAGTTCTCACAATATTTGGTCGCCGAACGCAGGAGTGGTGCTTTTGGCGTTTGAAACGTGTGCGTCTTGATAAGAGAACAGATATATAATCTAAAATACAGCTGCATATATCTCAATTCTCAGCATAAAGAGGGAAATTAGTAATGCTCCGCGATGAGCCGGACTTTTTTTACTACGGTTCTTGAGGTGAAAACGGGTATAAACGACGTCGTCTCACTTCCGGTGCACGGTGGCGGAGTGCGCTCCGCGAGCTCCGTCGTCGGAGATGGTGCCCGAGAGCTCGTACAGGTCGGTTTCCGGTGTGATGACGGCGTTTCCGCTCTCGCGGCTAGTCTCGCGGTGGTTTCACATGGTGGTCGCGGTGGTCTTGCACGAGACGGAGGAAACATCAAAACCCAAGCGTTTGGGGCTCCGGGCCGGGCCGCCGGGCCACTCTGGACCAGAGGCGTCGGGTGTGCGCAATCCCTGGCGAGCGAGCTGGCTTTAAATGCTGCTACCGGATGCCACCGCGCCAGTGTTGCCAACTCAATATATGAAAACCCGCAGTCGGAATCCCGAAAACCGCTAAAAAAACCGCTAAACTCAAAACACAGCGCAAAACGACTTTTTAATTTTTTTTTTTGCTTTAATTCTTGACAAAGGTATAATAACAGTATAGATCATATCAATGCCATCTGAAAGGAAGCTTTCCTTTTGTTTTGACTAGAAATTGGTCACGCCACGCCACAGTTCACCCAGGTGATCCGAAGCCAAAATTGCAGAGTGAGCGCATACGAACATGGCAAGGGACCCTTCAGCAGTGCGTGTGACTGGTCATACCCGTTCGACTTGTAGAGTCGTCTGCTACCAGAGGAGAAAGGTGCAGCAGCGGCCGAAACATGCTTCTTCGTTGCAGCGTGCATGACCAAATCCACATTCTTCGCAGATAGTTCCGTTTTGAAATAGCGGCACCTGGCTCGTCTGCTATCACCAGGAACCTCCAGTAGCTGCAGTCTTTAAGTTTGGGGTCTTATAACCAGCTTTTCTAAACTTTTGTGCGTACTTCACTGCGACCCTTTCACGAAACAGTGACAAAAACGTCAAAGGAAAATTAGGATATTTATGCTGTTCAAGCGTGCGCGCACAAAACGGGGAGGCTTGTTCCGATATTCGACGTCTTAATGTTTTGATTTCGTCGCAGGCGTTACTCTCACAAACCAGAACATTACTGAGAGTTAGCGAAGACGATAGTCGACAGTAAATCGATATAAAACTTCTATGTCTCTAAAAAAACGCCAAGATTACATAAAACCCGCTAAAAATCTTGCCGCCCGCAAAACAATAATTTATCCCGCTAAACAGAACCAAAAACCGCTAAGTTTAGCGGGAAAACCGCTACATTGGCAACACTGCACCGCGCTCGCCTCGCCAAACCTCGCCGACCACGACCGCACCAACCGAACCCCGCGGCCGAAAGGCTCCGGCCTAGCCAGGAACGGCACCAAGGTGGGTAGGGGCTGCTCGTTCAGCGCTACCATGCAGTGCTCGGAGCTCTCGGCGTCGTTCGTGCTTCCGCCGAAGCCCTTAGGGACTCCCTCGGACGCGCAAGTCGTGCCTGCTTGGATACTTCGACGGCGATCGCTTGGCAGCTCGTGCAACCTTTCCGTCATCGTGGAGAATAAAAAAGCATGGGGCTGGTGTAGAAAGGTATGCATACATCCTTCAAATGCTTGTCAAAGTTGTTCGTGTACCTTACCCGCAATTTCAGCATCGGGCGAGCCAACAAATTCGGCTCTATTCAGCTGTCATTCTTTAAGGCTTTTGGGAATTCAGAAGGCGTTCGGCGTACCTTTAATCGCCGCACCAACAGCGTGCAGCACAAATACAAGCTCTTGCTGTCGCTGCCGTCTCCGCGGACTTATCTCATCGAAGTCGTCGTCGAACAAACACTTTTTCGACGTTTCGACGAGAAGGGAGCCATGTTTAAGCGCGCGCCGGAAAACCGGAACCGGAAACGTTAAAAAAATAGGCGTAAGCCGCGCGCTCGAGCGCAGTTGTCCGGAGTCTGGAGCTCACTAACTTAACGCGCCCATTGATGCAGCTGTGAATCCACGGCCGGGCAACACACCTCGCAAAAAAAAAAAAAAAAAAAAAAAGGAAAGAAAGACAGGCGTTACGCTTTTTGTAGAAACTACGGCGCCGTCGAAACGCTTTGTTGCGTAACCCGCCAACAGTTCTGGTTTTTCCGCCGTTTGTTTTATGCGCGTTCAGACAGCTAACGAACGGAGCGTACCGATAAGTTGGCGGCAATTTGGTGAGCGAGCGAGAGCCCTAGCCACCCGCGCAAGCCGCTTCACTGCGGTGCGTGGCAAGCGAGAGCAACGCAGGCGGTTCACGGAGACTGCAAAAAAAAAAAAAAAAAGGCAAGAGGCGGCGAGCGGCCGCTGCTGGTGTGACGCAATCCGGAATCAGCCGGAGATAGCCTCATAGCGGCATAGCGGCGCAGCAACGCGCTTCCCCCCCCCCCCCCCCCCCCTTTTTTTTTTTTCAGCTCGCCCTCTTTTTTTGAGAGAGAGAAATAAGAATAGAGTGGAGGAGGGATGGACCTTCTCCTTAACCAGTCGGAGAATGGAGAGGAGAAAAACGGAGGAAGAAAGTTCTGCCCTTTCCACAAGAGAGGCGCCCGTCGCCGTGCGACCTTCAGAAGCAATCGGTGCGACGGAGTCGCATAACGCAAATTATTCTCACTTAGGATTAGACACCTTGCGTAAAGAGGATAAGAGATATAAACCTAATTAATATGTAAAATTAATAATTTAAAAAATTGTTTTATAAAGAAATTGTCTCAGGCAGTAATCGTTAGAAATATGTAAAGAACCACCCGGTAACTGAGACGTCATGTTCAGTGGTGGGTGAAAACTTCGAACATTTCTGCGTTGATTCTTCCGAGATTCAATGGGGAGTGATGAGTCGTGGGTGTTCATGCCAATGCGTGATACGTGCGACGCCCTGATTGTTACGACGATTGCACGTGACCCCTCTGACCCCATTGCCGGATCTTCAGGTGGAATTAGAATAACGTTTACATTAATTACGGTTGAATTATCGGGTTATGCTGGCGCATTATTAGAGAGTTTTAGGGAACCGTTTTTGCACATCCGATACGGTACGATGGGCCCTCCGGTATGAACTGCGCATGCGCCTGTTTTCTGCGATTTTACCGTAACGCGCTGGCCGAACCGTAAGGCACGACCGGCACGGCCAATGGCCGACATGGACAGTCTCGCTTGGTGAGCAAAACGGGTCTTTCGCTGGCGGAGGGAGCGTGCCGTGGCTCCAAACATGAAGAAAATAACTCGTGGCAGTGCCTGGCAGGAGCGCCATGTGTGACAGCAAATCAATAAAGTTTGAGTCAGCAAATAAGAAGAAGAATAAAGACAAAAACACAGTTCGACTTCTTTAATTGAAATAAATTAGTGTTTAGTGTGGCCAAAAGTCGTCTGCTCGGTAGCTCAGTGGATTGGAGCGCCGATTTGTTGAACTCGTAGTGGAGCGACAGTGGAGAGTTCGAATCCCACTGGCCCAAACAGCTTTTTTTTTTTTTTTTTTTTTTTTTTTTTTTTTTTTTTTTTACATATATATATATTTTTTTTACAAACATTGGATGTGCATTTCGAGCACTTATCACCCGTTTTTTACAGCTGCTGTTATGACTGAGGATTTTCTGTAGTGGCAAGAGTGAGCAACAGCCTTCTGCATCATGGCTCTGGATACCTTTTAGTTTAAACATGCTGCATGAATTAAAAATTTCTGTACAAATGCTAATCACATATATCCTATAAAACGAGCCCTTTGAATATTGGGTGATAGTTTTAATAGGTGCACAGCAGTAAAGTTACAGGTTTTGCTTTATATTTTCTTCGTGGTCGTACCGTACACGGCGCAACGATCGGTACGCGGGCGTACGACCGTGATCGTTTGCTATCTGTACCGTAAGAGAGCAACATGAGCGCCGCATCTATCTCCGTCTTCCGCCTCCTCCTCGCAGGCGGTTTACAGCAGAATACATCTTTCTACTTCGGGAGCTGCTAGGCGCTACTCCTTTTTCACTCCAGCCCTTTGGAATGACGCAGCGTTGAAAAAGAACTTCTCGTTGCGAGGAGCGAAGGAACGAATTGACCTCCTCGTAAATAAAAATAGAGATTTGAGACGTACTGTAAGATACGTCATTCCAAAAATATACACACTGTATGGAAAGAAAAACAGAAATCATTACATTCCTTCCTTAGTTAACGAACTCCCAGAGTACCTCATGAATATGGAATCCACTAGGGTACTGAAAAAGGAAACTAAGGAATTGGTGTCAACCATTTAAGCTGTAGATATCGTAGCCTAGCCGTTGGATATGTTTCGTACTTTTATTTCATGGTTGCGTGAATAGACTTGGCTATAAACACCTATATTTATGCCCTAAAGTTTTCCTTTTTGTATTTATTTGTGCTGCTAATTTTAGGTTTCTTTCCTTTCTTTTTTTGGGCTGCAGAGTGTTTTCTTTTTTTTTTTTTTTGTAACAACATGTATTCTAGCTGGTCGCCTGGCCCACATAAAAGCAAAATGCTGCTTTTGTGGGCCAGCTCTTTATTTTGTATGACTTGATCTGAAAATAAAAATTGAATTAACTTGAAAATTGAATTGAATTATTTTTGTACAAGAAGACTGACCGCATCAACTTGCGAAAGTGTGTATATTTTGGTTATTTTTGTATTTTTTTTTCGAGATTTAATATTTCTAGTTTTATTTGTCCATAGCTTTCTTAGTACTCGATCCTGCATTGGGCCTCGAGGGAAAGAGACAGGATCGCTAGCAGACGACTTCGAATGTCGATGATAAGCGCGCGCGAGCGTGTTCTTGAGCCAAATCGAGTTTGCTTTCGGCACCGTTTCAGCATATCAGGACGTGGTTGGTGTAAACATCACATTTGGCTGATGTAAAACAGCAAAGCTTGCCCGCTGAGAACGCAGGATTTATTAGAAAACAAGCTACCATGTACGGTCGAGGCATTATTTTATTCCCCAAGTATATAAATCTGGTAAACTGAAAAAAAAAATACGCTGGCACATCATCCCTGGTATGACAACTTTTTTGTATATTCAAAAGCAACGCCAGGTTGAACGTCCTATGCCTTGCCGCCAACAAGCGGCTTCTCTTAGTGTATCGGTGCTCGGTGGCACCCGAAAGAAATGCGACTGACTCCGTGTCACGGCACACCAAAAAGAATGTTTATTCCCTCGTGCCCCTGCACAAGTCACGGACCCCACGGCACGCGCGTGCGTGCCTCGCTTATAGAAAGCGGGAAGTTCAAAAGAGACTCACGCCACACTTAGTGCGCAGACAGTCGTACAAAATCACTTTTTCTAAATTGCTTTCGCTGTATAGAGCCAACTCCAAGTCATGGTCAAAAAGATCGAGCGCCATTGTTGTCGGAAAGCTCGTCTGCTTCTTTAGCAGACGAACATTTTAGAACTTCGCTCTGCTAGGGGCGACACGCCGTGGTGCGCCAGTTTTTGTATTACGGAAGCGCATTCATTCCAGTAAAAAAACGAGACGAACTATAAGTAGGTATACAATATTTTAGGTTCTCTATATATTTAGGGTGCTATCTTTATTTACTTGAGTTTCTGCGATTTGTACAAACAAACGCAAATTTGTCTTTTCTCGATGAGGCGGATGCAGGTTTCCGTTGCCAGGGGGCGCGACCTGTACCGATCGTCTGCTATCGTCTGCAAATACGGTTCCCCCAAAGCCGTTTTAGGGCACACGATCGGTCCACACGCCCGATCCAAGGTATCGATCGTTTTTGTTTATCGATCGTATTTTGTTCTGGTTCCCTAAAACTCTCTAATAGATTACAGTGTGTGTAAGGGATTTTGCTACTTCCACAACATAAAGTAGTGGGCCCGGTGACACTCCTCGACCTCCCCTTTTTTTTCGCGTATTGCCGTTTGTCGCTATTGCGTTCGTCAAGCTGATCGCTCCGCGAGCAAAGGTCGCATTATGTCAAAAGCGAAACCAGCGACAATGGGAGGCGGTGTACCAAAAAGGGCAGACGGCCACGTGTGGCGCCGCGGTCGCCAACTGGAAGAAAGAACGGCTGCATGGGTAGCTTTATCTCGCGTGCCACTGGGAACTGTGCTCTTGGCGGACACCGCTTCTTGAAAAGATTGGGGAGTTGTAGTAGATCGTTTTTCTCCTCCGCCACGGTATCCCCGAAGAAAACGCCGCCGCTGCGCATGCGCGCCGCCAGCCTTGTCTGCATAGGTCAAGGTCTTGTGGCGGATTACGGAGCGCTATCCGGGTGCTTAGCGGGCTGCGGAAAAGGTCTACTACAATTCCCTATTGACTATATGCTGATCACCCCAAAGCACTAAATGCCGAAGTTATGGCAATTTAAGTTACCACTAGGTTGCATTTCTTTGTTAAGTCACTCGATCGTGTCCGAGTACAAAAGCGGCAAAATACCTGAAGCTCATTCGATCCGCATAACATTTTCACCCAGTGTTGTCATCGGAAGAATTTGTTACTTTCAGTAATTTCAGCAATTTCTACTTTTGTAATTGTGCCATGCCCTTTTGTGCTGTGCAACTAAATATTATTTCCCTAAAAACTTCCATGCGATCCTTTTTGTGTGTGTACAGTATCGTGTTTGCCTGACGTAACGTTTTTCTTGCTCCGATTTCAGGGTGTATAAAGTCGAATGCACCGTTATCATGTTTTTTTAAACCAGTTATCTTTTTTGTTCTAGTGCATGCGAGGCAGAGCTTCGTAGATCAATGTCATCATGTAGAGTTGAACCATTTTCTCGAGCCATGTGAGATCGGCGGAACTTTAGCCCTTCATTGTTTGGTTGTGTTCTTAACAGCATTAATTTCTAGGTTTAAATAAGTGTTAGTTGTGCTCATGGTAAAATTTAAAAAAAGTAGTTATTTTTTAAATAATTTAATTCGTTTGGTTGAAACAGCATTTATTTGATTTAAATCAAACTTAAATGATTTAAATCACTTAAGCTCAAAATTAGACTTATTATTACTACATTTTTTAATGACCATGTGATGTAAATTCCTCCTTTTTTATAATTACTTGCTTCAAATACAAAATAAGTGCCCATGGAAAGCAATTACTCATAGACAAACGGTAAATATAAAATATTTTCAGTACTACTTTGGGTAAGAGTGTTTGAGTTAAATCACTACTGAAATCGGTGCGACTTAAATCATTATAGTCAAGTCGGTGCTATTTAAATCATGATTTAAGTTATTATTTAAATCGTGTTGATCTTTATTTTCCACCCTGTCGTGGTACCCTTATGTCAAAGGCATGTACTGGAATTCGTTGTTGCTTTTCTTGCTGTGCAAAACAAACAAAAAAAAGAACAATTTTGTTGGGGAGTTACGGCTACAGACAAGGAAAATACCAAAAATTTAAGAACGCAAGCTTTCAGCAGCTTCCGCATATATGAAATGTGAGCAGCTAAGGAAACCAGGCATAGCTTGAATTTCCGTCTCCAACTTGCAAGCCAGTCCACCAGTAAAGATCATGTCCACTAAAATAATTTTTGTGGATCAGTTTTTATTTTTTTTATTTAACGGACAGAAGAAAATTGAAGAGAAAGCAACCGTGTTTTTCTCGCCTCAATAATTGACTACCAATCACCGAACCCTCAATCTACGTCCAAATGTAAAGCTTGCCGTCGGGATCTGATTGTATAACTGAGCTCTTATGCTTCAGAAGAGTACATCGTGCAAATGCATGGACTTGAATAGCGTCAGCTGCTATAGCAATGAGCCATTTTTTCATTGAAACTTTTTGGACATTACTCATAAGTTATAACTCATATAACGCACAGTTCTGAAATTGGGCATCCGATTCGAACCGCTCGAGCTACATTCGGGTGGACACGGAGCTGACTGAACATTCTCTTTTGCGTAGTTCGTTTTCGTTGTAGCGGCTTAGTCGTGAAGTGTGTACAGCTCGCCACTTCTGTCGCGT